TGAAAGTCTTCATGGGTTCAAACTGGAGTAAAAATACTCTCCAGAACCTTATGGATTCCAGTTAGAGGCTTCACCCAGATCTCAGATGTTAAATGTGGTCTGGTTTCTAACTCTTCAGGCTAAAACCTTTCAGGTTTTAACAGCTGTTGTAATAGGTAAAGAGGATCAAAGAAATCTCTGGCCAGAACCTCTCCAAATGGATTTAGATTGCATGTGGATATTATGCCTACTAGAGTGTACTTCACTTGTATGTTCTCCATTAACAGTGTCTGAACACCTCCTAAATTAATCACTTGGAGCTCTATTTATGTGTCTATTTATGTGTTTGTTTATGCATTGGGTGTTCTAAGCTTGGGTTCAGCAAGGCGTGTTTCAGCCTCTCTCTCTCTCCTGATTTTAATTTCAAGATGGGGAGCTTCCACTTTGGCGTTGCCTAGACTGAAATGCATTGATGGATGGTCAGCTATTTGTTGCATTATTTTGATGCTGGAACAAAGATACCTTCCTAAGCATGTTTTTAGGACAGGGATGGGTAAGTAATATGCTTATGTTCTAATGACCGTTTTGTTTTCCAGTTTTTGCTAGTCATTCCACTGCTTGCTCTAATGATTACTGGACAAGATGAGGTACTTCACCTCCAGTTAGACTGTAAAAGTTCCAAAGATAAGTCCCGTTACATAATTTATTTGGTAGACATTGTACCTCAGAGATAAAAGCTCCTAGGTTCAGATATCTGATATCACGCTGAGATTTGGAACCATCCCAAATGCTGAAACTGCGCAATTTCTCTGGGTCAGCACAAGAACACAGCACTTGCAGGTCTTGGGCTGCTAGCCTATTGAAATGTAACCTGGAAATTGGTCCTGATTTGTTTATCTGGCAGTCCTTGCAATATACTCTTAAGTGACAAAGCCCAAAAGCCAAATTAAGTTTAACATCGATTCAATTATATATTTATGTCGAGAGAGCGAGAACAAGGGAGAGAAGGAGAACAAGAGAGTCCCAAAGTTGTTTCAGTAAAGGCATACTTTTTCACATCTGCACCATTTTGGTAAGGAAGCTATTCCATTAATTAGATAATCATCTGTGATCAAGTAAGCAGAGAGTGGTTTCCAATTCTCTTCGCAGTCTCTGTGGTATGATTCGCATAAACTTGGAAAGAGGATCAGATTACAGCAGTAGAACATACCGGATATGTTTACATTGTAGTTGTCAGAGCAAGTACACTTTAAGCTAATTTATTGATGGTAAATTGTCCAAGCTCCTTGCAGATGCAGCAGGGTAACTGGTGCTGGAGATAGTTTCAGGATAGCTTGGTACTTACACTGCAGAATACAAGGATTAACGATCCAGAAATAGAGCAAGCGTTAGCAAGTGGAGGACTGGAGTGAGCAGGAAACCCTGCTACTGATGCCAGGATTTCTGAGTTGCAGAATAATGATCCACACATGCCCGACAGGGTGTTTCCTGCCTCGCAACGTGTGAGCCACTGCAGAAGCTCGAGGAACACTTCTGCGCAGCAGTGGGTTCCCATCCTTTGCAAACCATGGTGAGTTGAGGAGCTGGATCTCAAAGCCCATTGATGAGCTGGCTCCAGACCTTGTGAGCATTTCCAGCGATTCCCAGAGCTTGGGTGACAAAGGCGTCATGCCAACAAAGAGGAGGTAAGCTTGTCTTGGTTAACATTCCTCTCTGCATGCAAAAATTCATTTACAAGCTATTTCTTAGGGAATCAGTTAGACCTGATAGTTACCATGGGCCTGGGTTTGAATGTAAAGCCTGCTAGCCATTCCTGAGTATCTCTGTGCCTGTCTGCACTAAATGCAGGGTGTGTACAATGGACAAATCTATATTTAGACAAGCCCTACTAGCAGCTTAGCAAAGACTTAAAATAAACTTCTTCCATTGTGGAATCTTTCTTTATGTCCCTCTGCTAGCTGAGTTGTACAGTACAACTTGGCAGTACCAAATTAAAATATATAGGCTTTTTTGAACACTTCTCTACAAACATGTTGAAATAAATTGTAAACTACTTTAGAATGTGCTATGTAACAGATTGGATGCCTCAGCATAACTACAAAAATGCTACAAAACGTGGAATCTCAGTCTCAGTATGTGAAGATCCAAGATGAGGCAAAGGCTAGTACTGGAAATAAGGCGCTCTCTTAACTGGCAGAACTACATTATGCAGAAAAAAATGGACAACATTTGCACCGAAATCCCTGAGATTGCACTGAAGATGAATTTGAGGCGCTCTCGGTTTCATACTGCTACTAGTAGCCTCTCCCTTTCATTGACATAAGATAAATGCCTTTCCTCGGTATTATAAGGTACTTGAATAAGTGAGGGAAAAGGTAACTCTGAACTTCTGTTGCATTAACTTAATACTCTAGCAAGATGAAAAGTGTAAAAGTGTATGCCTGTAGTCTACAGAGAGTCGCAGGAAGGCATTGTGCTGCTCCTTGCCCTGAAAAATGTGTGCCATTAAACTTTGGTATTCTGTATTGGCCAGAAATAAATGAATTTTCAGCAGGGAATAAATAAGCACTGTTTATGAGGGGCCGTCTCCAGTATTCATGCTGTACCTTGTGACATCCTCAACAAAAATACTTGCCTTTTGGTATGCTGAGATTGTCATCTTTTTGCTCAGGAGGGGAAGTCATCTACTTGACCTGTTCTTACACAGACCATGCACCAGAGTAGCACTGAAGATTTCTGGAGCGTCCGACTGACGCAGTGTTGTTGTACAGTCCGAGCCCCACCAGGACCTTAGCAGGCACATCATGTGGTTGGTGACCGCCTGCTCATTTTGTGTGCTTGACAGGCACATGTTGGAGAGAGGTTTGTGTAACAAATGGGTGGTTACTTCTGTATAAGACCTTCCTTAATGCATTTTTGCCACCTCATCACACCTGCCACCTCTCTGGTTATGGTAGCAATCCGTCAAGGGTTTGTAGCATGGGACTAGAGGGGACGTTCTGGTATTTCATTGTATTTCACGCTGCTTTTCAGCAGTACTAAGGGTTCAGTTCTGCCTTATTTTCTGTTAACCACAATTTTAATTTCAGCAGTGGATGATCCTGTTTCCTCATGAAGAGATGAGCCATTTAAAACAGGGGTATTTCATCCTCTTATTAAAGTCTTTTTCTGTGAAAGTGAATTGATTGTCTATTCTATTTATATATTTTGATTTTTTTTTTAAATATACTGGTATTTTCACTGGCATTTAGTTCTGTATGTAACCATACTTGTATGAGATTTGCTCCTATAGGAGATAGATGGCTTTGATCTTTGCCTTTCTTCTAGAAGGAATCCTATTCGAATCTGTAAAGACAACTGAATCTTTTCCCTAAAACAGTGAGTGCATTTTCAGCTATCCTAATATAACATGCATTGTCTTAACTGGTTTTTAGTTCTACTGCGAGGGACACTTAACAAGGTCAGTGACACATGGAAAGACAAGGCTGAACCACAGAAAATCTGCATCTCAGTGAAAGCAGCACTTTTGTTCTTTACTGGGATTGATCTTGGCGAATTTCTGGCAAACCTATAGGTCATGAGAGACCAAAGCCATGATAAAGAAGGTAGTACTTCACTGAGAGTGGATTCTCTGGGAAAACAGAACTGATATATTTCTTTGCTTGGAGATTTTCATTCAATTTTAATTTCGTTCTACGCTCTTAGCGAATGTGGTTCATGCTGTCGGCACTTATTTGTCACTTCATGTGCAATATTGTATTTTAGTTGAACTGTATTTGATTTGTAAAATAGCCTTAAGTTATTATGATTTTTTCCTTTAATGTCCTAATACATAAAACATCATTATTTAATGAACCCAAATAGCTCCTTCAACAGTTTAGAGAAAGACAATATATGCTGCAGATTCATAAGATTCCCTTATTAAAAACATGATAGTTCCCTAGTTTGTTAACAAAAAGTCTTCTACCACGTAAGTTTACTTTTCGAATATTTAAGAGACAATCCTTGTGACTACATTAGTTGATTGCATTGCTTAGCAAGAATGTTAAAATGAGCAGCAAGATTTTTTTTTTATTATTTATTTTTTTAGATAGCTTTTAACTCTAATCTTTATATGTACTAATTACCTGTATGGATAGTATAAGAACAAAAAGCTCTTGCAGTAATATAAGAGAAACAAAAGCTATTATAAATTGTATTTTTCAAACTGAATGGCTACTACGTTTTGTTGTAAGTTTTGCTAAAGGTTTGCACATGACCTTTACTTTGCACATACTTATATTTTTGAAGACATACAGGAAACTGATTTATAAAACAGTGTTCAGATCAACATTTTGTATTTTGAGATTAAGTTTGCCGGATGGTGGTTAACTGGTGACACAATTCACCTGCACATCTAGTTGAGGTCTCATCTATGTCATGGAGCCTCTTTGGGGTGCTGTAGTTTGTAGATGCTGCGTTTTGCATTGGAGCAACAGTCAGACAGAGTGGGGCAGAGAGAGGTTGTCCTGCTGGTATCTCTGTTGTTCTCCAAACACCATCAGCTAAGTCTCCTGTTGACTGAGCCATGATGACCTGTGGGGGAGCTGCAGTGTGGTGTTGGCAGCTCCGAGGGAGATCTGAATTCTTGCAGCTTAAGCTGGTTTATTCCCTTTTACACAAATCTGAGAGAAGATATAATGGCCCTGGTTAATGCGGTCAAACAGCACTTGACAAGTCCCACTTTTTCTCTGTTTCACAGGAAGGGTTAAATTATAACTGAAATATTGCTTTTTAAGGCTGTTGAAGACTGCTGACTCTGTCCTTTAGACTCTGCAAGTGCACAAATACCGAATACATCTGCTTAAACTAAACTCTAGCCAAACTATCAGTTGCTTTCCTCACATTTTTCCCCCAATCATTAATGAACATTTTCCACAAGAAAGTTAACAAAACATCTAAGACGACAATGAACTTTGAACATCCTAGCTTGGACCTTTCATTCCAGAGTCTCTCTTCCTGCGCAGATTGTATAAAGAAGGTACAAATTTGCAAAGGGATGCATCCCAATCTGGACCACAGGTTACGAGACAGGAGGTGATCAAATATTTAGAATTGTTTTATATTTTGAGATTTTTCTGCATTGCAGATGACGTGCTTTCTGTAAATACTGATGTTTAACCACAGTGATCATTCCTTCTCAGGTAGTTCTGGGGTGTTCAGCACACCAGCTGCATTCGCTGCCATAAAAGGACCCCTTCCAGGATGGCTAGATGTACACGTCCCCTCTGTGCTCTCGTGAGCTTGTGCTGCTCCACCATCTGTCTCGCAGGGAACGTTTCTAGATCATCCGTACACTGATATAGCTGCAAGTGACCTAGAATTACGCATCCTGCAACTGCGCCACACCAAAAATAAGGTAACTGTTTACTTAGGTGTTGTTCTCATCCGTGGCCGTGCTATGTGAGTACCTTTATCCTTTGGTTTCTTAAACTGCACAGTCTGGAGGAGGGAGGGATTTATGGATGTTATTTGGTGTTTTCCTTCATTTCCTGTTCTAGAGTAAGGGCTTACAAAGTCTTCTGGCAGCGCTGGGGACGAAAGCATGGTTTTGAAAGGTGCAGCTATGGCCCCGTTGTCATTCACTTGCCTCTCAAGGTCTGACAGGGAGTGTTTCTGAAGTGGAGAAACGAGAAGATTAATCAGTGATTTGAGAACTGAGCCAAATATTTGGCAGTTGCCAAAATACTGTAGGCTGAGTGAGCAGAAACCTAGAATTGGAGGGAGCTGCACTTCTCGTTATGAAAACCAAGGGCAAAGGAGAGAGGCGACAAGTCTCTCCTTGTCTTCAGTTTTCCTCTTTCCTCTTGTTGTTTTCTGGGGCTTGTTTTACAGATCTACCTTTTGCCAGCATACTTGCCCCCTCAAAGCTATGACATACACTTAACTGTCATGTTTGTATGCAAAGTGGAGTTAGATTAAAAGTGGATGGCTCCTCAATAGGAGGGCATCCAGAGAAGTTAAAGCAAAACAATTAGAAGCGAGGACCGTTATACACTCATTTAAGGCACGTTTTAATTCTCAACCGAGGATGCTCATCCAGGTGCAACGCCACCTGGGATCTAAATCTGGTTTGTGTCTGACTTCTTCCACAGAAAGATCCAGCGTATTGCAGTATGTGCTTGAACTGATATGCCTTAGCTCTTCTGAATTTTTCCTGCGTAGGCAAACCATTATTTACTCCTCGCTTCATGTAAGCAGCAGTCTAATGCGCTGCTTGAGAAAGGGTGAAGAAGAATATAGGTGTCTTCTGGCGCTCATAACCGGCCTCACTAGGGTGAAACGCCCTGTGCTTAGTTACAGCTGTGACATTTGTTCCCAAGCCTCCGCAGAAGTGAAAAAAGCAAAACGCTTCTGCCAAGCACTGTAACGAGAACTGGACTTCATATACAACTGTATGGAAAAAAAGGCAAATCCGTTTTTATCCTATTTATAACTTCTGTACTGAAATATAGGTAATGGCACATCTGGATGGTTGCAGTTTCGAAAATGTTATTTTTTCCAGCCTTCTGGGGCGCTGCTGTAGCAGCGTTTCGGTGGGCCTTGCTAGCGCGGCCGAGGGCAGGAGGGGAGGCTGTCCGCCCTCCGGCCTTTTTGGCGTGTTTGGACAACGATGTTACCTCTCCCCTCAGTCTTCTCCCTGGGTTAAACCCCTTTTCTTCACTTTTCCTCCCTGCACCTGTTTTCTAGACCACCGACCCTGTTCTCCTCTTGCCCCCCCGGGCAGTTTCCTGGCTGTTTTGGCTATGAGCCACCCCGAACGGCGCCCGCCGCCCACCACGGACCCCCCCACCGCGGAC